CACGGATTCGTGCCCCTGACCCAAATGTGCCCTGCACCCTGTGATTTATAGATCGGGATTTCAAAAACCATTCTCTCGCTAGGGGCACTCTCAAATTGTCTATGCCGAATGGTACTTTACCTCGGTATCTCTCGCAAATATTTTTGCCGGTCGAAACCGGGGGGAAACAAAACTATACTAAAAGAGAACCCTGGGCCCGCGCCCTTTCCGGGAATATGTGTGTTGTGCGTAATCTGCAAAACGGGAACTGCATGCCCATGAGGGAGAGGTGGCGGGTGAGGAGGATGACCGGGAAGAGGAGGATGAGGACGAACAGCAGCAGCAAGAACAAAAGCGGAAGGATCGAGAGGAATAAGAGGACCAGGGAAAAGCGGAGGAGGGGAATTGAGGGGAGCGACAATGATGAAGGCAATTCGGATTCAGAAGCGTGGCCCGCGCTGAAGCGAGACGAGAAGCAGCAGCAACAGGAACTCGGGTGGAAGGAGCGGGACCAACAGGAGGACCAGGGGAGAGCGGACCGGAGCGGAACGGAGCGGCGCCGATGTCGCCCAGAGAACGTTCCGTGTAGGGAACGGCTGGTGCGCCAGGGCGCAGCAATTCTGAACTCGGAACTCGGCCGAAGTCGGAAAGTAAGGAGCTGGAGTCGGAAACGTGGGAGCTGAAAGCGGAATGACGGGCGCTGGATTCTGAAAGTTGGCAGCCCGAAGCGGGAAACTAAAAAACAGAGTCGGAGAGACGGGCGTCGGAGTCGGAAAATTGGGAGCTGGACTCGGAGAGATGGGAGCTGGACTCGGAAATTTGGTAAATCGCAACAACCACTTGACCAAAGAAAATGAAGACAATATTTGAGCAGCTCAATTGCTTAAGATGCTTATCACGCGCACCTATTTGAATTCATCCGGTTCTATTAATTTGCCCGGTTTAAATTCATCCGATTTAATTTGGCCGGTTTAAATTCAGGACTGGATTTGAAGAGGATTTCTGTTTATTCCAACTTCCAGGACCTTCCCAGGGGTCCGGGGATGCATGTTGTGTGGGGGTGCTTTAATACCAAACTCGAACCGATGTTCTCGGGGCTCTTCAGTTCAGACACTTCAGCCGCCTGAACTACACGAGTGTTGTTATCAATTCTGGTCATCCCACATCGGGTTCTAGATGATGGGGTCGGGAGATCGCAACGAATCGCCAACGATCGCCGACGCACGCGCGACGCATAGGCGATGCACGCGCGCAGTAAAACAAGATGACCTTAACCTGGGCAAGTGAACACCAGACGAATCGAAACCGAAGAACAAATCCGAAGAGACGCCGAAAAGGCAGCCAAGAGGCCATTGGCCTTTGTGCTCGCTCTGCTCCCCCTCATCCTCCTTCTCTTCCTCTTCTGGTTGCTCCTCCTTCCCTTCCTCCCTCCACAGGCAAACAATACAGATGCTATTCTCCTTCCGCCGAAAACTTTGCGGAAAATCCCCCACCCCGCCAAAAGTGTTTTACACGGAAGATGTCGACAACTCTTGCTGTTTTACGTTTTGTTGTGCCATCCGATTCTTTCCGGCGTCTCACAATGGCACTGCCGCTACAGGGCGGGGGCCTCCTCCTCGGATCGCCGCTGTGCTCCCGTCGTTCAAGATGGCGCTGATTGCGGTCCCCCTTACAGTCGGGGCGTTGACCTAAGGAACCCTAGGAACGAGGCCCCTTTTTTCCAGAAGTCAAACTTCGATTTCCGATCGAAAACCTAAGGAAAGCCTGAGGCAAGCTGTGAAACACTTAAGGAACGCGGAGCCCCTCCCCAACGAAGAAGGTTCCTTCTTCAGGGCCCCGACTGTATTATTTCCAATTCCCATTTTGCCATCCTCCGCTCAAAGTTTTCTGACTCCAGCCCCGAACTTTCAGACTCCGGTGCTCGTCTCCCCGACTCCGGCTCCCAACCGATTCCAGCTCCCACCTCTCCGCCTCCGGTTCCCAACTCTCCGACTCATTCATCTCCTCATTCTTCGACTCCGACACCCAACTTTCCGACGACAACTCCCATAGCTCCCAATCTTCCGACTCCGATGCCAGTCTCTCTGGCTCCGTCTCCCAATTTCCCGCTTCTGGCTGCCAGCTTTCAGAGTCCAACGCCCGTCATTCCGACTCCAGCTCCCGCGTTCCCGACTCCAGCCCCTTACTTTCCGACTTCGGCCGGATTCCAAGTTCAGAATTGAAGCATTCTGGCGCACACGCCGTTTCCTACACGGGACGCCCTCTGGGATAATTACTCACCGTGCAAATCAAAAAGCGGATGAATTCAAACTGGACGAATTAAAACCGGATGAATTTAGACCAGACGAATTAAAATCGGATGAAATTAAACCGGACGAATTAAAATCGGATGAAATTAAACCGGACAAATTAAAACTGGATGAATTTAAACCGGACGAATTAAGACCGGATGGATTTAAACTGGACGAATTCAAACCAGACGCACGTAAACCGGACGAAATAAAACGTGGGAAATAGTTTGAAAGGATCAAATAGACAACGCGGGCCGCACAGTGGCCCACATAAGAAAAAGTAGAACCGCATGCATTTAAACCGGACGATTTCAATCCGGATGAATGTAAACCCGGACGAATTAAAACCGGATGAATTCAAACCCGGGCGAATTTAAACTGGATGAAATTAAACCGGATGAAATGAAATGGATGAAATTGAACGGATGAAATTAAATCCGGAGGAAACAAAGGTGAACCCCGAAGATGCCCCCGAAGACGCCAGAATCCTCCCAAAACCTTACGGAAATCAATGTTTTTGGTTTTCTCGTCCTTTCGCTTCCGATGGCCATCCGAGGCCTCAAGATGGCTCCAAGATGTCCCAGGAGGGCTCCAAGAGCGCTCCCAAGGCTCCCAAGAGCGCTTCAAGAGGGCCCCTAGAGGCGCCCGGGCGGCCCCGGGGGGTGCCAACAGGCGCCCAGGCCTCGAAGAGGCTCCCAAGAAGCCCTGCGAGGCACCTAGGACGCTCTAAGAGGCGTCCTGGACCGCCAAGCGGCTCCCAAGACGCTCCAAGAGGCCTCCACTGGGGAACCCTTCCTCTGTGTGCTGCCCACTTCCCTGATCGAGGCAATTCCTCTGGGCATCGTTTCTGGATGGGCTGGCGCGGTTACCTTTTAGTCTGCGGCCGCAGGCGAGCGCGCAGCGGCGAGTCCAGTCAAAGCGGGGCGCGCAGAGACGAATTAACCTAAAGCGGTGGGCCGAAGCCTCACGCGGCACCTTAGCGGCCAGGCCAGCGAGTGGGAGGGAGCTGACAGCAACTGCTGAAGAGCTGGTGGGGTTACTTTTTTGCGGCCCGCGAGGAAAAGTCCAGAGGGCGGCAAGAACGAGGCTGGGACACAGCGCACGAAAAGCATATAATTAACGGCGCAGCACCGTGCCGGCCAAGAAGCAGCTGAGCGTGTGCCAGCAGCAGAGAAAAAACAACGCTGAACATGTGCCAGCGAGGGAAGCAAATAGGAAAACCGGCCGCTGAGCGTGTGCCAGCGAGAGAAGGGGGGAGGCAAAAAACTGGACCCGCTGGTGGGGCCGGACTGCCAGGCGGAAGGTGCCAAGACAACTCACTCACTTGGAACGTCGGCCAGCCTGTACGCCGCCGAGGGGGGTCCGGGCCAAAGCCTGGTGGTGGCCGACCACAAAGGAGAGCGCCCGCGGTGGCCCCTGGTACCAAGGCGGTGTGCGGCTTGCGCATCTCGAAGGCACTCCTGGGACTGAAGCCGACGTCGCACACGAGCGCCAGAAAGGTGACTGACCGACGTCCTTGTCTGCCAATGCCGACAAGGCAAACCTTACTGTCACCACGCCCATGTGCAAGGGGGGGTCAGAAGCCGCCGTCACAATGGGCGAAGAAGTGGGAGCCAATGCATGCTGCCGACTCCAAAGGATGGGCACCCGAAATGGCCGAGGCCAGCGCCCGGTGTGCCCCGGCCCGCGTACGCCGCGGGGCTGGTGGGGTTACGCGAAGCGTCTAGAATTTAGCTGGTTCAAGCTACTCCACAAAACCCGCTCGGACTCACCCAGCATCTCCAAACCCCCGTCCCAAACGAAACGGTGTGCACTGGGGAATTTGTCACAAAACTGTGAAAAACAAACGGTGGGGGAACAGAAGCCGGGGAGGAAGGGTACCGAAAGGAAGGAACGAGGGCTGCCCCAGGAGGGCCCCGCCAGGGTCCCAGAAGGCGTCCAAGGGAGCCAAAGATGGCCAAAGATGGCGCCAAGAGGGTGTCTGAAGGCCCCCGACAGCCCAAGAGGGCCCCAAGACTGCCACAGGACAGCTTTGAGATTGCCCAAGAAAGTTCCCCAAGGCGTCAAGGAAACCCAAAAGAGCCCAAGGTGACGGTAAGCTTGCCCAAGAGTATCTCAGTAGGGCCTCTCGACAGGGCCCCATGAGCGACACGACTAATTACCGAAACCGACTTGGTTTCGCTGGTTCCGGCCCGACCCAATCAAGATCGGCACCCGAAACTTCGGGCAGATCCCAACTAGGGCCCACAAAAGCCTCCTGACTGCCACAGTGTGTCCCCGACAACGTAGCCTCAAAAGGATCCAAAGGCGCTACACCAGAGGCATGAACAGTTTGAACTTAGTGGCATTCGAACAATTATTGCTGCCGTTGGGGCGCTACCTCACCACAACGCCACGTCGTAGGATGAAAAGACCACGGAGAATGAGTATGATAAAGAGGGGGAGCGCGACGACGGAAACGATGAGGGAGATGAAGAGGAGGAGGAAGAGACGAAAGGGAGACGGAATCGGAATCGGAATTGAGGTGGCACGGAGGAGGAGGTGGCAGGGAGGAGGGGGAGGAGCAACGCAATGGAGAGGAGGTGCATTAACAGTTGTTCTGAGCAAGTTCGATGGAGCTTCCGCAGGGACAATTTGAGCACAACCACCAGATCTTCGAAGGAGACGGCCAACTGAGACTACCATATATAAAATACGGGAGTAGAAGGGGCGGCAGGTAAGCTTCAGATCCTGATGAAAGCATCTCCTCCTCGCACTCCCCGACCACCGCGACGTACTGCGCTGCCTTGAAGTCCTGTCTCTGACCGCGCGGCGGATCAGCGGCCGATGGGCTCGGTGCCTATACGGCTAGGGAGAGCGCCCCGACCCACCACAGGCTGCGCTCCGCCCCGGAGCTGAGCCTCCTCGCTCCAGCGGGAGCGGCACTCGCAGTCCGGGGTGCGGCCGGCGCCGAAGCGGGGGAGGCAAGGGCAGCCTTTGCCATCGTGCTGTCGCCAGGCGGAAGAAGCATTCCATTTCGAGGGTGCGGCCCGCGCTATGGCGAGAACAACACAGGCAATCATGCAATTCACCCACAAGGCTCGCGTCAACCAATCGTTTCACAATCACCGTCGCCCAGAGTTCCTCTCCTCGACATACGCACCAGCAACTCGCAGCAACAGCGCCGTAAGAAGCGGCACGACCCCGCATTCGCATAGAAGGGCATGGAAAAACGCTTCACAACATGATGGGATCATGCATGCGTCCGCGCATTGGCTTACATCGCGTAAAATGCAATAACAGAGCTACTGGTGAACACGGAATCACTTGTAATACGTTTAGGGCGAAACTCTTAGAGGGGTCTAGCAAGAGGAGATTATCAACACAGCTTTTGCACCATAGGGTCCCAGCCAACAAGCTACCACCACACAGGGTCCCACCTCATGTGGTCTCCTCACCAAAAATGTCTCACACCACACGACCTACCCCATCGGGTCCCACCCCACAAAGTTCCACCCCATTGCGTCAACTCTATACGTGTACCTTATTTTCTGCACCGTGTAAACACCTTAAACGATCAAGACATTGAATATACCCCCTACCAAGGCCAGACGCATCAGCATATCCCTGCTTATCGCGTTGCCAAAAATAGTGGGCATTGGCGCCCATTGAAAACATCAAATCAGCCGACCCAGTAGTCGTGTGTGAGACACTATCGTCGTTTTCGTCGTTGTCGCCAGTCCCAAGGAAATCTAGACACGAACCACAAAAAGAAACGTCGTAGTTAAGCCGACTCCCTCCCCTTTTCCCCTCCCTGACGGGGGGGCACAGCCCGCGCGGGAGGGTCAGATCGCCGCCCCTCCCAGAGGGCCAGCGACCCTCCTCTCCCCTCCCCTCCCCCCGGGCGGTCAAGGGGGATACAGCGGGGTGGCCTCGCTGTCTGCAAGGGAGCTCCGCCCCCTCCCCCCGTCGTCTCGGCCCTGGCTCCGGCCCTGGCCCCGGCCCCGGCCCCTCGCCCCGGCCCTGGCCCTGGCCCCGCCTGCCCCGGCCCCGGCCCCGGCCCCCCGGCCCCAGCCCCGTCGCCTCCCAAACGCCCGGGAAGCACACACGGCTCCTCCTCCTCCTCCTCGCTACTACTACTACTACTACTACTCTACTACTACTACGACTACTACTACTACTACTACTACTACTACTACTACTACTACTACTACTACTACTACTACTACTACTACTACTACTACTACTACTACTACTACTAACTACTACTACTACTACTACTACTACTACTACTACTACTACTACTACTACTACTACTACTACTACTACTACTACTACTACTACTACTACTACTACTACTACTACTACTACTACTACTACTACTACTACTACTACTACTACTACTACTACTACTACTACTACTACTACTACTACTACTACTACTACTACTACTACTACTACTACTACTACTACTACTACTACTACTACTACTACTACTACTACTACTACTACTACTACTACGACTACTACTACTACTACTTACTCCTCCTCTTTCTCCTAATTATCCTTTCCACCCTCCTCCTCCTCCTCCTCCTGCTCCTCCTCCTCCTCGTCCTCCTCCTCCTCCTCCTCCTCCTCCTCCATTCCTTCTCCTGATACATATCGTCTCCCTGTCGCACCCCGAGGCCAGTTGTTAAGGCGGGCGGGGCGTTTCGCCTGAGACTTCCTCACCCCATATGGCCCTGAAGCTTCAACATTGGCAACGGTTTCACAAATGGAGGGCGGGTGGTTTTCAAAATGTGGCTCTCGCTTTAGCGCTGTGAGCATTCGTTAAAACATGCAAAGAGTTCCACGGATTGAGGGTGGGTCGTTTTCAAAATGTGGTTCTTGCCTGAGCGCCGCGCACATTCGTTCTGAAAATGTACAATCACGGATTGAGGGCGGGTGGTTTTCAAAATGTGGCTCCCGCCTTTTATTCCAACATCGTTGGTGACTCATTGATTTGCACTGGTCCTCCTCCTCCTCCTCCCTCCACTGCGCCCCATGTCCCGAGCTTGTGGCAGGGTCATCAGCTCGTCGTTGTCGTCGATTTCGTGGTCGTTGTCGTAGTCGTGGTCGTCCTTCTGGGTCGGCAGCACCAGCCGTACAGCCTTCACAATAATACTATCGTCGTCGTCGTCAAACTTTGGCCCGTTCTACGGCCCACTGAAGCCAGCTTAACGGCCCTGGGGGCCGTTTTGGGGGTAATTGCATGTAATTGTTGGGGCCAAGTTGGGTGCCTCTTGCGCGGCCTGCGACGCTATGGCAGCCGACAAAATGGGAGCGGTAAACACAAATAGAAGAACATAATGCTTCCGCAGATCTGGAGTACGGGGGCCTTGGTATCTGAATAATCCACCCCTTACTTCGTTCCACCCTCCCTCCTTCCTCTCCTCGCTCTCAGTTGCACCCGCATTCACTCTTACGTGTTTGTTATCACTCTCACGCACACTCACTCGGACGTTTGCGGACTCGTCGTCGTCGTGGTCGCCCTGAACCCCTCCTGTCCCTGGGCCTTCTTCAAGCGCGCCAATCAAAGAGAAATCTAGCAACGTCGTACAATCGAATCGAGGGGAAGACGCGAGGCCCCTTCCCTTCGATGCCTCCTCTGTGGAGGGAGCCCCGGGGAATGGTGGCCGGGGGGTCCCCCGGGTGCGTCGCCTCCCCCCGGGGCTCCACACGGCTCTAAACGGCATCCAAATTGACCAGGGAAATCCCACCCGCCCCCTGGGAACGAGTTTGAACTTATTTCCACCACCTTCCCCTGCTCGAGCGGGGTTCATCACGGTTCCCTATTGATATGCATCCCCCTCCCCCCGGCGACCAACAGCCAACCAGGAACAATGAGGACCCCATGATCACCCCCCAAACCGTCCTTGTCTAAAGAAATACGAACACACATTCTGCCTCAAAATTCGGAGCATGCGCAACCAACCCGATGCGTCCCCCCACCATCCCTGTCAAAAAGCCATACAAACTGCACTTTGGGGCAACGTCTGGTCATGTTCGTGAGGCCCGCGAGCACTTTGTGTTGTACTTTGACAGGGACGACGGGGGTGTAAGCATATTGCGTGCTGTGCGCAGGGCTACCAGCCCTGACAACAAAAACACGACGGGCACCTGAGGGGCATCGGTTTGCGACAGGGCTGGTGGGGGCCGACGTGGTTCCCGGTGTGTGCTGCCACCTGCGCAGGCGCACCTGACGCGCTCTGCACGTGCCACGCACGTGGCGCACCCGGCGCGGCTGGAGCATGCGGCACGCCTGGCGCACGCGGAGGCACGCGGCGCATCTGGCGCACCGGGCGGGCCTGGCACGCTGGGCCCCGGGGGATTGACCGGCGCGCCTGGCGCGCCTGGCACGCGCGGCGCACCACGCCCCAGTGTCGCGCACATGGGTTCGGTGTTGGCCCCCAGTAGCTGCCCGTCCAAAGACGACCGCTGAACATGCTGAGGCTCGGGTGTTATGTGTATATATATATATAATCTACGTGTGTATGGATGTGTTGGGAGGGTGGGTGGGAGTGAGCTAGACGGCTTGCTATCTAGAAGGGTGCCTTGACCCATCTCCTACCCCCTCCACTGGAGTTTCAAGATGGGCCCAAGATGGCTTCAAGGGGGCCTTCGGCAGCCCAAGACGGCCGCCAAAATGCTCAAGATAGCCGAAGATGTGTCAGCGTAGCCTCCTACATACTTCCAGGAGGCCCCCCCTTCGAGTCTTCCTAGGCACCGGCCGAAAGGCCAACATACTTCAAACACCTGGGGAACATCCATGTTGTTTGCCTTCGCGCTGTTCTGTTTTCGATGGGCTCTGAAGCCTCAAGATGGCCCCAAGACGGCCCAAAAGACGCCCAAGAGGGCCACAATAGGGCCCCAAGTGCGTCCAAGAACGCTCCAAGATCGGCCCAAGAGGGCTCCAAGGCGCCTTGTTTGAGCCTCCAAGTGGGAGCGGCTGAAATAGATACCCCCCCTCCGTTTTGAGAGATGGGGTTCAAGAGGTCTGACAGACCCCCCCTCCCAATTAGCCCCGAGACTCTCCCGATACCCCCAAACCGAGCCCCAAGAGGGCCCCAAGAGTACCCCAAGAGGCCCCACTCACAGGGACCCCAAGAGAGTCCCACAGATGGCCGCAATCGTCCGTCAAGAACCTCTCACAAACACATATCTCCAAAGCTCGACTTCCCATCCTCCTTGTCACCGACCGTTCCTTCCCTCCTCCTTTCCTGTCTCCTCCTCCTCACCTTCCTCGTGGCATATTCCTCCTCCCACTTTGTTTCCCCCTCGTCCTCCTCCTCCTCCTCCTCCTCCTCGTCCTCCTCCTCCTCCTCCTCCTCCTCCTCTTCCTTCTCATCCTCCTCCTATTCCCAAGATTTTCCCAGGAGGTCGAGTATGGCTCAAGGTAGCCTCCGACAGACCTCCAAGAGGCCTCAAGACAGCCTCCAACAGCCTCTAGTCGAGCATGGCTCAGGCTAGCCTCCAAGAGGCCTCAAGAAAATATCCGATCGTCTCGGGATGGGCCGGGGGGGATGCGCGAAACATCAAGAATTTCAAAGCCGGTTAAACCATGAAATTGTTCAACGTGGATCCCAACATGCCTCCAAGAGGCCTCAGGCCCGCGCCCCCATCGCTCTCCACGGGGGCTCCGTTAGGGCTCTCCTGGGCTGTCTTGAGGGCCTGGGAGCTGTTCTGGGAACCCAAACCCCTTCCCAGGGACCAGTTTCTCATCCCGAGTCGTTTTTTGACGGTCCCGAGGCCTGGCGAGGGCCCCCAGATGCCGAAAATGGCGAAAAACCTCCCGTCTTGATTTGTCAAGACTCGAGGGAATCTGGGAAGTAAGATCTCCCAAAACCGTCGGCTCCTGCTTGATTGAAACGCTCGAGCTCTGGCACTGCCAACTGCAACAATGCCCGGGGCGTGGAAGACTCCGCATCCATGCCGGGACACCCCCCTTCTCGCTTCCCCCCTACAAGGGAAGGCCCGACCACAAGAAGCCTGCCACAAGAAACCCAAACCTGAGACCCCAGGACGTCCATCGATTTTTGGTGTTGGAACGTCGCGCTTACCACAGCGAAACCATCGAAACCCAAGAAACCCAGGGCACCCTGGAGGCAAGCAGGGTGCTTCTTGGCATGGGCCTCCACTGTACCTAATTCCGTCTATCAGGTCGCACGCAGAACATCGCTTTCAACCACTTTGCCCTCCCACTGATCTCGCGAGATCTCTAGTGTGTCCTATCTCTAGGCCGTCCTGGGGGTCTCTTGAGGCAAGATCTGTGTGGGCCTATCTTGAATCGGTCTTGGCCTGTCTCGGGGGGGCTGGCTGGCCGGATTGGGCTCCTCATGACTCATGGAGCCCTCTAAGGCCTCTGGGCGTCCTCGGCCTCTGGAAGCTTTTGATGCTGTCTTCAGGCCCCTGGAGGCCGCTGGTACCCGAAAAGCGGCCACCTTGGCCGAAACAAAACCTGTTACGCTCTGGTTCTGCCCAAACGGGTCGTACGCACAGCGCGCTTTCCGTCATCCGCCATCACTTTCTGGCCTGTCCGCAAGCGTGCTAGGCGTGCTGGAGGTCAGGCACTGGCTCTGGAATGCATCGGTCGGCGCGTCCGCAGCTTCCAGATGCAAGCTGGCGCCTCCAAGACGCATAAAATGAGCGCCGAGGCTCCACGATGATCTCCAAAACGGCCCCAGATCTGGCCACATCGGCCCAGGACGGCTCCAAGACAGCACAAGACGGCTCCTAGGTCCCCCCCTCCCGATCTCCCAAACGGCGCCAAGACACCCCGGACGACCGCAAGACCCCTAAGAGACCCCGAGCAAGGCACACGGTCATGCAGTACTCACGTCTTGCAAACCTGTAGCCACGGAGTTTGGGTGGCAGCTTAGTGCATTCCTTTGGATAACCAGAGGCCGTCACGTCCTTGCGGCTGGTCGGCGTCTTGATCTCCACCACGCTATCTTTTCGCTTCACTCTCTCGTAGATCCAGCCACGTCCATCGGCGAGATGAACGTAATCCTGCGCTCCGACGCGACACCTCAGGCAGCGACAATTGGATAACACTTGAGAGGGCACGACTCGTCGTCACACATCATGAAACGATCGATCTGCTCAGAATTGCTCACGCCCTGCTTCGGTTCTTCGGTACGTGTTGGGGGGTGGTCGTGATGGCATGCTCGACTACTCTCCTGATGGGCAACCACATGCGAGCCATACCCCTGCAAGTGAGTTTTCAAAAACACCAGGGCGGAGTATGAATGGAAAGACGTCTGCAACCAAGTGTTCCCCAACACGGGTGTCCGCTACCCCAGTGCCCCAGCGCCGCAAGGCTTGGGAGCTGTAACCTACCAATATACCTGCGTCTTCCAATTTCCCCCTCCCGCACAACGATCGAACCACCTATATACCGCAACGTGGCCTTGTATCCAAAAGCTCACTGACCTCAAAATACGGTGTCAAACAAAACCAAAACTGGGACAACATTGGACACGGGCGAATCGGGGATCTCTGAAATCCGAATGGCAAATGCAAGCCGCTAACGGGCGCCGCTGGCGCTGCAAACCGCTATGATAATATTCTGGAAAGCTCTGAAACGATGTATCCCGGTCCCAGTCCTAGCCCCGCCCGACGATGTCCCTTTCAGCAAGAGTCCGCCTGGAACTGGCCTCCACACCCCTCCTGGGCATGATTTCCAGACAGTCCCAACTGTGTTGACAAAGGGACCCTGCGAGCGAAACATAAGCGTACAGAAGTAAACGCATCCGCAAAACTGATGTCAGGCGTTCTCGGAAACATGGCTTCATGATGGTGATGACCGCGACGATAATAATGATTGGTGATGATGATGATGGTGATGATGATGGTGATGATGGTGATGATAATGATGATGATGACGATGATGATGCTGGTGATGATGATGATGACGATGATGATGTTGATGATGATGGTGACCATGATGATTATGGTAATACTGGTAACGACGATGTGAAGGATGATAATGATGATGACGCTGCCGATGGCGGTGGTGGCGGTGATGGTGGTGGTGGTAATGGTAATGGTGATGACGATGGTGACGATAATTATCTGGCGATGCTACGAGTTGTAATAGCGATGATGAGTAAGAGCGGAACATGTCGCGCTGACATATCTGTCTGAGCTGCATCAGGAACGTCCATTATCCAAGGATTCCGCGCTCGCTCACCTGTGGAGATACACACGTCCATGCATATACATATATATGTGTGTATGTATGTACACATACATGTATACTAGAACAGAACGCGCGCTTCGCGCGCTCTTAGGTTCTGGGAGGCCCCTGGCCTCGACGAGTTCACTGCTCCGCTGAAGTAGTGGACCCCAAATGGTCTGAACGGGAAATGATGAAAAATCAATAACGCTGAACGCATTGTGGGCAATGAGAAGTCCACGCATGTCAGTGCGCATTCCAGAAGGCTTTCGGAGAAGATCGTTGCGTAGGGGGGCAGGGGCCTCATGAATCGGGTTCCCAGAAGGCCCTCTGGGAACATGGTTTTGGGGAGCGTCTTGGGTAGCCTGTTGGGGCGCGCCGTCGTCGTCGTGGTCGTAATGTCGTCGTCGCCTCCTGGGGCGCGCCGTTGTCGTCGTCGTCGTCGTCGTCCTCGCCTTCTTCGCTTCGTCGTCTTCGTCGTCGCGTGGACCCCTCCCGGGATCCATCCCGGCGCAATTTTGTCACTCCAGACCGAAGCCCCCCGAGAACGGCCCCCGAGAAGCAGAGAGCGCCGAACAACCGTATCGAACATCTAAGCTCCGAGTTCGTCGTCACCTTCGTCGCCGCCGCCGCCGCCGTCGTCTTCGCCGTCGGCAGACGTCGGCAGAGAAGGCGGTCAGTCGTGTGCCCAGTCCACTTCGCAGGCAGCTCCCCTGTAGCGTGAAGGCACCTCGGAGCCTCGGGAGGACTCTCGGGCCCATGTTTTTTTCCTTCATCCGCACGGGCGCAACAGAATGCCCAGCCCGGATGTGGGCGTCGGCCCCTGCGCTGACGAGGAGGACCTCCTCGTCCAGCACTCGTGGCCTCAGGCCGTCCCCGGGGGCGGCGCGCTCGGCGCGTGCGGCGCCTGGCCCGCCAACGGCAGCGGCCAGGCCGCCGGCTGCGGATACGTCGGCGGGTGCTCCTGCAGCAGCGGCGCACCGATCGCCGGCGGCGCCGCCTGGATGATCTCCCGCAGCCTGTACGAATAGTAGAAGCCAGGGCCTGGCACGAGGCAGCCAAACACGAGGGACCACAACGAGAAGCCCTGCGCGCCGTGCTGCAAGAGGCCAACCAGGAAGCTCGGTACGGCCAGCAAACTGAAACCCATGTAGACGGTCACGCAGCAACGATTGTTGTTCCTGGCCCCGCAGTAGCCGTGAAGAGGAACAACGCTGGACAGGGTCAGGCAGAACACGCAAGCAACAAGAATACACACCAATATGATCCTGATCGGGTGGGCACCATCGGGGAGGTCCATGCAGTCGCCATGCTCAGATCCCGCGGAAGAGCACGCCGAGTGCAGCGCCGAGAGCAATTGCTGGCACACTGCAGGCTGAATTTTGCCTTCCGCGCAGTCTCGCTCGAGTTTCGCGATGAGATCCGCGTCGGGAGGGAGCGCAGCCACGAGGATGCCGACTGGGAAGAGCACCAGAAACCCACAACAAAATTGCAATTCAATGGTGAACCCTGCGAGACATTTCACGTTGGCTGCCAGCCGGTCTCTCTCTCTGCCGAGACTGGGCCATCAGCACCTGTGAACATTCGCAGCCCAGCGCTCGGCACGCTACGCAGTGTGTGTGTGTGTGTGTGAACCGCGTCGGCTGCCTCCGCCAAGCGACTTGAGCCAGGGGGGGGGATCCTTGAGCCAAAATGGCTACGGAAGGCTTTCTGGGGACATGACTTGTTGGGGTGTGCTGGGGGTCCTCTTGGGCGTTCCCTGGAAGCCCTTGAAGGCCTCGTGGGGCTTCTTGGGGGTCCTCTTGGAGGCCTCACGGGGCTTCTTGGGAGCCCCTTGGTGGCCGCCGTGGGCCTACTGTGGGCCTCTAGGGCCAGAGACCTCGAAGTATCGGTCCGTGGTCTCCCTCTGGGACCCCCTGTTGGGGCGCTCTTGGGTGGTCTGGAGGACCTCCTGGGCCGTGGTGGAGCCCTCTTCGGGGCCTCGTGGGCCGCCTTGGAGCGATCTGAAGGGCCTCCGAGGCCGTGAGGGAGCGTTGGGAAGCGGGAAAAGCGAGAACGCCCAAATCCTCCAAACACCATAGGAAAATATAGGACGTTTGCCTCCCAGGGCCCTCTTGGGGAGCCTCTTGAGGCCGTCCTGGAGCGTGTTGGGGTCCTCGTCGGCCTTCTTGAGGGCATCTTTGGCGTCTTCGGGGCATCTTTGGACCGTCTTGGGCCCTCTTGGGACACACTTAGCCTGCCGTGGCCCGATTCGGGGAGGGCCCGGGCCGTCTCGGAGCTCTGGGACCCCCCCAGATACCCCGGGGGGCGCCCGTGGAGGGCACAGGCACCGGCTGTCCCCCGACCTATTCCACAATACATGTATATGTATATATATATATATATATATATATATGTGTGTATACATGTGTGTATGTGTATGTATAGATGTACACATAGATAAACACACATACTTGCATACGTGCACACTTGCATACTTGCATACATGCATACATGCATGCGTGCATGCGTGCATACATGCATACATGCATACATGCATACATGCACATACATGCATACATGCATACGTACATACATACATGCATGCATGCATACATACATGCGTGCATATATACGTGCATGCATACACACATACACTCATACACACATACATACACACATACTTACATACATACATACATACATACATACATACATACATACGTACATGCATACATACAAACATACATACATGTATGCATGCATGTATGCATGCATGCATGCATGCATGCATGCATGCATACATACATACACACACATACATACATACATACATACATACATACATACATACACACATACATACATACATACATACATACATACATACATACATACATACATACATACATACATACATACATACACATACATACATACATACATACATACATACATACATACATACATACATACATACATACATACATACATACATACATACATACATACATACATACATACATACACACACATGCATACAAACATGCATGCATGCATGACTACATGCATACATGTGTATAAACATATATGTATATGTATATATATATGTATATACATTATGGTTCTAGTCGCAGGTGAAGCACGGGTACCGCTGTAAACCCCGGTGTGGTCATGACGACGATTTCCAGCGTTTTCGGGCCCATGCCTTTGACGTAAAGAAACACGTAGTGAGAAGACTCTGCCGGGGCCGCCCTTGAGGGGTGGGAGGGGGAAAGCAATTTGTGAAATGATAGGGTATAGCGATGCCCCGCTCGCCCTGACGGGGCCTGTCTTCACGTAGAAGCCGGTCCCGAATACGAAGGAGATGGGTCCCTGGAGAAAAAGAAGTCCCAAGGGGTTCGCCCTCCTCGCGCCCCCGAGGACCGTCGATAAAGAAAGGGGAGCGAGAGGTGGGGTGCCTTCTCGACTGGCTGGCGTGTCCTGTCACCCGGGAAGGTCCCGCCCGAGTCCTCCTGGGAAATACACGGCACAGAACTCCAGACATCGGCATGCCTGCACTGAAGCTCACGGGCGAGTGAAAAGGTGTTGGACTGCCGTCGTAGGCAGCTGAAAGAAGGCTCTCGAGACATTCGGAAACACCGTGCCGTCTGCGCAGAAAGTGCGAGGCGAAGCTACGACCCGAGAAGAGCATATGCCGCCGCTGCTGTTCAAAGAAGCGAGGTCGCGTCGAGGAGCTCGGCCTCCCTGCTGCTCGCCCGACCTCCTCTTACTCCCTGCCTCCACCACCCTTCCATCCAGCGGGGCGCCAGTGTGCTTATTAGGGCTGGGCCGCGAGCCTCCTCTCCTCTCGAGCTGCGCCTCCCCGCCCTCCCACAATCCACTCGGATTCCCAAGGTTCGCTCCTTTGAGCGTGAGTGGCTTGGCTAGCTTCCTCATTCACCTTCCCCCTCCCCCACCCACCGAGAGGCGCCAAGAGACTTCAGGAGAGAATTCCCAGAAACTTTCGGAAAAAATGCCACTCCCTTCCCCCATCTTTCGGGGGAGGGCGCCTCCCGGCCTTCCCCTGCGACTCCCCCGCGTGCCTGATCAAAACAACTCGCTTGGGCATCGTTTCTGGAAGACTTTCCTCTGGAATGCTGCAGGACGTCCCGTCAATGGCCCGTCTCCTCTTGAACCGTGCTGCCCCGTGCTGCCGTTCACAGAGAGCTCTGGCCGCTCCTGCGACCTGACGAGGACGGGGGCGGAGCGCTGAGTTCGCGAAAACGGAGAGGAAATGGATATAATTATGATGGAAGAGGAGTCGATCTGATCGTCCACGACCTGCGCGCGAGATCTGCCGCGCCAGGTCTAGCTTGTGCGTTCAAAACAAAAGCTGCCTCGATAGTTTCTCGCCCCCCGCCGGGGTCTCGGAGAACTGAAGGCAGCGAGACGCAGCGAGAAGAGGCGGAGGAGGGATGGAGGTGAATGCGAAGAGGGAGGAAGGGAATGTGAAGAGAGAGAGAGAGAGAGAGAGAAAAAAAAAAAAGAGAGATAGAGAGAGAGAGACAGAAAGAGATAATGAGAGAGAGAGAGAAGGAGAGAGAAAAAGAGAGAGAGAGAGAGAGACAGATGGGAAGAGGCGAAACAAGAGCAGGAACAACCCTCGCTGCAGCCACCTGCTAGGGACGGCGAGTGTCGACAGTGTGGGGACGAAACCCTCGTGAGAAACTGGATGAAAGCTGGAGGCGCTGCCACCGTGACAGGCCGGGCGGGGCAGGCCACGCCCCCAGGTCCAGGAGAGAAATCGCCACCGCGCCTCTCGACGAGGAGCGGGCGTGCCCACAGGTCGCCTCGCTACCCCTCGAGGCCTGAGCCGCCACTCCTGAGGAGATCATGAGAGGTTCGGGGCCCCTCGACTCAAATCTCTCCAGGTTCGTCGCGGCTCCGGGCGTCTCCTCGCGCGACTGCTTGGGCCCAGGCCCCCAGAGTGACCACGCGCGCGCTGCGACAGCGGGCCTCGCTCCAGTGGGTCCTGACGGCCGACCCTCCTGGAGTCTTAGACATCTCGTACTGTGCTGCCCCCTTCCTGGCGCAACTCCGTGGCAGTTTCATTGCAGGAAGGTTCCAGAACTGCCTGGACCGAACCAGGCTGAATCGAACGGCCGCGAACCAGCGTCCCCCCCAAGACGAATCGAACCGAACGGGAATGGTCGCGGCAAAGACCCGAACCGAACCGTACCAAGATCGCTTGTGGACCGAATGGGGCCGAATCAGACCGATACATACCCAACCCGAGCGGTACATCCACCCCATTGAATGGGGAACGAAACCCGAGGCCCAACAAAGAACTGCCCGGACTCCCCCCCCTGTTCATCATCGCTGTCGGCCTCCTCCTCGCCCTGTGTCTTCGTGCTCGCCTTCGTCCTCGTTCGCCTTCGTCTCCTACCCGGCCTCTCCCTCCTCCTCCTCCTCCTCCTCCTCCTGCTCCTGCTCCTCCTCCTCCTCCTCCTCCTCCTCCTCCTCCTCTTTCCCCTCCTCCACCTCCTCCTCCTCCTCCTCCTGCTCCTCCTCCTCCTCCTCCTCCTCCTCCTCCTCCTTCTCGTCCGCCCTTGATGGATTCAGGACCCTGGGCTTTGGACCCCTGGCTCTGGGGACCCGCGTTGACGCCTGTGGACCCATTTTCGGCCCCTGGAATTCTCCACGATCCCTGGGCCCTTCCACGGCCCCGACAGTGCGGCCCCAGGGCCCCACGTCCAGGAGCAAGAAGAGCAGGACGAGGAGGAGCAGGACGGGGAGGAAGAGGAGGGGCAGCATCAAAGGAGGAGGTGCAAGAGTAGGAGCAGGAGGAGGAGCAAGAGCAGGAGGGATTTTTGGATTGCGCGCGCGTTGAACCTGACGGCTGTCGCGTAGTAGTGGCGCTGCGGCTAGCAGGGGCAGTTAGCACAGACATATCATACTTCTGCACTAAAAGTCAAGTCTCGAATACTCTGCACGGGCACCGAAGGTAAAGTACAGCTCAGTGAACACTTCGGGCGTGAACGCCGAATTGCAAGTCCCAGCCTCCACCTCCATCTAATCCCACCAACGTCAGCTTGTCTGAGTTTCAACAGTGATCAGTATGAGAGAGCGCATAGAGGCTCGGGCCGGGTCCGCCAGGGCTCGGGTCTCTCTCAACAAAGTGTTGGGGACGGGAGGCGAAAGATAGGGAGAGAGGGCTGCTTGCATCTGACTCGTGCAATCCTTACCCTGGACAGTACGACGTGTCTCGTATCATGCAGAGCTGCACTGCACACTCGATCCGACCGACTGGGCCACGTCTGCTCGTCGGTCATGCCGAGATCTAGGCAGATGCTAGTGGCAGCTGTCAACTGTCTGAGCGAGCACGGTACGAGCAGGAGGGGGAGAAGGAGGAGGAGGAGGAGGAGGAGGAGGAGGAGGAGGAGGAGGAGGAGGAGGAGGAGGGAGGAGGAGGAGTGGGGGTGATGGGGGGAGGCACGGGGGGAGAGGAGAAGCAGGAGGATGCGTAGCAGGAGGAGGAGCAGCACCAGCAGCAGCAGCAAGTGCGGGAGGATCAGGGGAAGGAAGGGGAGGAGCAGGAGGAGGAGGAGGAGGAGCAACAGGAGCAAGAGGAGGACGACGACGCAGAGGAGGATGCACCCCCACCCCCCTCCTCCTCGTCCTCCTCCTCCTCCTCCGCCGCCCTTTCCCCCTCGTCCTCGCCCTCGTCCTCCAACTCCTCCTCCTCCTCCTCCTCCTCCTCCTCCTCCTCCTCCTCCTCCTCCTCCTTCTCCTCCTCCTC